CAAAAAATGATCCGATTGCGATTATTTATTTCATTTTTTTTTTTATCAATTTCTAGGTTATTAGGAAAATTATCATGGATACAATTAATTTTACACTTTTTGACTTATGGAAAAATAATGTTTACTTTTCCCCATAACTTTTTCCTTGTTTATCTGGTATGCTTATTTTCCACACCTGAGGAAGAAGATAATCTTCTTGACATAATACAGCATATAAACAAAAGAACGCATTTCAGAAATAATATATAAACATAGTCCGATGCTGAAGTGTAAACCTGGAATATTTCAATTGTTAATTATAAGAATATTAAAATTTTCTAATAAAGCTTTCCTAGCATATAAAATATTAGAGGAATATAATCTAATAGTTTTTAAAGCATATTATACACCAAAAATAAGAGTAAAAAAAATCTATATTATCTGAGGTTCCCGAGGCTCTCAGAAAATTTCTCCATCTTTTGTTAATACTTCTACAATAGATTTTTATAGTTATTATAATTAGCAATATTTTAATATATAAAAGACTAAAAACACTATATATATATATTCCATGACAACCGTGAAAAGGAGGTTTTCGGCAAGAAATACCATTTATTTCAAAAACGGTATATTTTATTACAGTCTTACAGTGCAGTTCCCAGAACATTTCAAAGAAACTTTTCCAGAGTTTTTTTATTTTTATTTTTTCCTGTTGGCATTACAGACCTTAAGCCACCTTGACCAGCCTTCTCCTTCTTGGGCTATTTCTTTCTACTTACTTTCTTGTTACTCTATTGCATCTTAGTTGATTCGATCTATCCATCTGCCTTTTGGTTTTCCGCATGGTCTTTTGCATACTATTGAGGACTTCATTGTTGTGTAGATGCTTCCTGATAAAATGCACCTAGCTACATACCCCGCCCATCTTAATCACTTTGCCTTCATATCTGAGATATTGATTAACCAGTTTTTGGAAGCAACTCTTCTACATGTGTTATTACTCTGATCCCAGATCGTTCTAGTTACCTGAAGTACCAAAAACTACCATGGCTTGAAATGGAAGTCGAAATCTTTAAAAAAAAATTTGATCCGATTCCATTCGTTCAGTTACGGAATGGACTTAATCCGTAACAAATAATAATAATAATAATGATATTAATTTAACTTTTATTTTAATAATTGAGTTTGTTAAATATGTCAATTGGTGAATCATGTATTGTATTAACACTTCTCATAACTCAAAGGATAAAAGGACAAAGAAGAAAGGACAAAGAAATAATTATCTGTAATGTACCGACTGAACACAAAACCCATTATTATCAAGACTTAGGGAACAATAAAAGATTTCAGCAAAAGGTCTCTGTCTCACAAACTTCATATCAATTCTAAAAGATAAGAATACCAATTCTTAATAGTTCATAACTTTTCTCACGCTTCCTTTGCCGTCCTCTTCCGATCAGCCCCTTGCTATTCGTGGGTATATAAACCCCATGGTTCTCAGAACAAATCCCTCTTGTAGTTCCATTCTTAAAGTCATACTCTTGTATGAGACCTGGAGTGAACTCTTGTAGTCAACCCATATATTCATAGCATTATTCTATATTTTAAGATGCCATTTGTAACAGACATTATGAATAAAAATATTACTTATAAAGTCTTCACTGCCTCTGATTCGTTAACTGTTCACTTACTAACACCGTATGGTACCTACCTTTTCATTGACTTTTATGAAAGTTGTTGAATTAAGGATCGAAATTGGAATTCGTTAATTCTCCATGATATTCCCTTTATTTCGACTTCTCTTTTGTCAAAATCCATCAGTCCTCGTAATTCAAAATCAGAAAATAGATCTACACAACCATATTATAAAAAATAAAATTTATATTCGAATTGTGTTAAGCTTGAATTCTGAAACCTGCTGAAACTAATTCAATCAGTCGGATATAGCAAAAACATCTTAGCTAAAAAGCCACATGGTTTTAACATAAAAATATTAGAATTTTCTTAAAAACTTAATATCTCCAAGCAAGTCGTTTAAAATTTTTCTTATTATATATATGCATATTATTCTACTTCGCTATAACTAAATATTTACAAAACATCTTAATATACATTAACTTACTTTTAAAAAAAGCTCATATTTGCTGTTATATATACATGGAAAAACTCGTACATTCATGACCTAGATATTAAGAGTTTTAAAGAAAAAATAAAATTTAATCAAACAGAGGAATCTTAGATAAAAATTGAAGGGGTCATATTTTAAAACGGTACTTAAATATAGATTCGTGACCCAGCATGCGCTGGATATTAAACTAAAACGGTGAGGAAATTATTGGGAAAAGAAAAAAGACTTGTTTTTTCTTAATATTGGCCAGAAAGGATTGGTTTACAAACATGATTATGATATAGTTCCTCATGAACCTTTATTATATTGATACTTTTTTTATTGTTTGTAAATAAGTGACAAGTTTTTTTATTACATTACGGAATTATATTTTGAATTGTTTTCCATTTAATTCAAATACTTTTTTTATCAGACAGATACATTTTTTAATACATTTTAGGTATTGTATTTGCTAACTCCATTTTAAGTATTACTTCTACAGATTAATCTCTACCATGTACATCAATGTATTTTTGTACTCTTTTTATTTAAAAAAAAATGTCACTAAAAAGTCCTGTATTGCACATCAATGTATTTTTGTATTCTTTTTATAAAAAAAAAAAAAAAAAAAAAAAAGAAATGTCACTAAATATTACTAAAAAGTCCTGTACAGAGGGATATCGGATATCTATAAATGAAGAATATCGGCAAAGGTTTATCTGGCGTTCTCGGTTAAACTTCATAGCTCATACCTACCCTTATTTCCCCAATAATTATGAATACATTTTCTTAATTCACTATATTTAACCATTTTTAATAGCAAGTTAAAATGTGAAATTGTTAATTATTTTAATTTTTTAAAAATGAGGTACTTTAGGTGACGAAATTTCGACAAAGCGGCATTTAAGCCCTGTCAGGTCACATCGATGAGGATAAAACCTACCTTAAATTAAAAACCACTTAATAATATACTGACTAAGTGAGTTTAATCAAAATTGTTAAAGCCGGTCTACAGAAAACCGTAAAAATGTGATAAATCGATTATATAAAGTACCACTTCAGGTTTTGAAGAAAAGGAGTGGCCAAACTGCAAAAATGAACTATGGACCTCAAAACAAGAAAACATTATCTCTGAAGATATGTCTCCAAAAGTTTTGTCTAGGAGATGGATTAGATAGAATACTAATGTTGCCTTTTATCCCTAACTGTATAAAAACTATTGCCAACATAAGGATAAATACTATTTGGAATTAGCATTGCTAGCTCTCAATAACATTTATCAGTTTGTAAGAGGCTTTCGCAGAGTACTCATCATTATGCCTCCTACCATTTATAGTAATGGTGAATATGCCGATATGGTGTATGTATACGGTTTTTGCCACGTTAAAAAAAAAAAAGTCTATTCAAGTCCGGTTAATGACTTTGGTTTTTTACAAAGAAGGATAATTGAATCTTGTGAAACAATAACACATATCCAGTGCATATCTGCAACTGCTGCAGTTGAAGAAAGATGCCGAGCCTGTCTTAATGCTCAAGGAAATCACTTTGAACAAGCGGATATACAAATGGATATACATATGGCATATACAAATCTTATACATGCAATTTCATTTTCGTAAGGCTTTTCGTTATTGAGCTAGACTGTTCATATTTGGACTCAGGAAACCTCTAAATGCCTATTTCCGATCGAAATTTTTTTACAATCGTAATACTTACATTAATATACAGAGTCTTTCGTAATTGCACGGCACTATTTTAGGTATGTGTTCACTAAGACAAAATAAACAAAAAAGTTGATATTAACATATATCTAAAACTCATTTATTAAACAGGTATCAAAGGTTAAAGATTTATTATTTATTTACTACATTAAGACTGACTACAAAGTTTAACGTGTTTAATATTAAATAACAGGTTTTGATCACCTGATAAACAAATGAACGAAAAGCAATGACAGTATTTGCTCATCTGTTTCTCTAGTTCTGTGTGTTTTAGTGTGAGTGAATACTGTGACACAGTTCAATTTATGATTATCATGGGAGACACCATAAATTTATTCACTTTTGCAGGACAAACAGACATGCTTTTAACTTATGGTGAGGTACATAAAAACGGGCTGGATGAAGTCTATGTTTTATTCTGTAGCAGTTGGCACGCACGCTAGAAGAGCTAAGAAATCGGATCGTGGAAGCCGGAGTAACCATCATGCCTTCTCACAGATCTGCTTCATTCCAAAATTCCTTAATTGTTTGATCTGTCAATTTCTGGAATTCACCCCCTATCAAAAATCGACATTCTCCATCGATATCCACATTCAAAACCCTTCTATTCCAATTTCTATCCCAAAAACAGTCAGATAGTTGCTAACCATTCGAGCTTATTTTAATAGAGAATTTGATATATTTTTTAATTATTTATTATTTTTTTAAGAGTGTATACTGGTCTATCAGTGCAAATAACTTTAAGTGTTTTGTATATAGTTTAGTTTGTTTTGTATATAGAATGTTTACCTTATATTTTCTTTACATTGTTTCTTTTTTTTCGATTGATTTTATTTTGGCCAGATGTAATCTTTTTATTTTGTTGTATTTTGTTATTCTCAAGAGGCTGTGTCCCAGAATAAAATTATTTTTCTTTTCTATTCTATTCTATCAAGCTATACGATAAACTATAGACCTGATGCTATACGAAGGGCCAGAGAAGCATGGATTCGTCGTGCTTAATGTTGTATTCAACAAAGCGGAGGTCCCTTTAAACGGTTACTCTAAATGTTTTAATAATAATAAATAATAAATCTTTAACCTTTGATACCTGTTTAATAAATGAGTTTGAGATGTATGTTAATATGAACTTTTTGTTTATTTTGTGTTAGTGAACACATACCTAAAATAGTGGCGTGCATTTACGAAACACCCTGTATATTACATATATAGATAGATAAATGAAAGTAGAAATTAATCATTTAAATCAATATACGTTTCTTTCACGTTGTTTATATTTTTTTGATTTGCAATGTAACATTTTATACAAAATATATCTTTTATATGGTGACTAAAGAGTAGTTGTTAACCTTGGGTTTTAACGACCTTGTTGATTATAGAGCAGGCTTCTCCGCTACTGCATTTCTTTGGCTATTACTTTCCAGTTTACTGAATGCAGTTGTGCATCATCTTTGTTGATTCTACCTATCCATCTGGCATTGGCCTCCTGCGTGGTCTGTTGCCTACTATTGAGCCATTCATTGTTGTGTAGAGGCTTCCTCATGGATTGTTTCGAGCTACTTTTTTTTTCTTTGTTCTTTGCATAATGTATAAGCATAAAGAAAGTCAGTTCAAGGTCTTTTTTTTTAATATGATCAAAACATTGCGTGCACCCTAACAGCACGCACATAAACGATGGACTGAGTCCTTCAACTTAAAAATGAAATATTATGTAAGATATATGATAAATCAAGTATCAGTTCGTTTTCGAAAGTTTTATATCTAATATAATAATAATAATAATAATAATAACCTTTATTTGTGCATACAATGAAAAAACAATGGATAAATATATACGAAATCTCTTATATGTATAAAATCAACTTAGTTGAGGTTTTGAGTTGGATTTCTTTCTTTTTTTTTCTTTTTTTTTATATATATTTAACTTTCTTGTAACCACATTAGGTATTGAATCTGTCCCATCCTTTTCCACTCTTTCCTCTCCAATGCTGCTCTCTTCCAGGCTGCTCCCCCGTAGGTCTTCTTCAACTCCTCGTCCCAGTCTGTCGGCGGGCGTCCTCTCTTCCTCACGTGCTCTCTTGTATACCAATCCATAAACTGACTGGTCCATGTTAATTCATTCCTCCTGATTACATGTCCGGTCCAGGTCCACTTCCTGATGAGCACTTTTTCCACAATATCTGGAAGGTCAGTCTTAGCTCTGATCCATTTGTTTGTTTTTCTATCCCTTCGAGTTATCCCCAGAAGATATCGCTCCATTCCTCTGACGGTTATCCTTAATTTGTGGCAAGTCTTCTGATCAATCAACAACCATCTATCATGACAGGAAGTACTGTGCTCACCCAAAGTTTTCTCTTGACCTCTGAGCTCACCGAGGATCAATATATATCCTTAAATCTGAAGAGTGCGCACCATCCCTGGGTACATCGCCTGATTATTTCTTCATTTTGTCCTTTAATTGAGATAAGGTGCCCAAGATATAGAAATGTATCTACTTTCTCTATATGGTGTTCGCCTATTTTTATATCTCCCTCAACGTTCACTGACATATAATTGCATTTTTTAAAATTTATTTTCAGTCCTATGTTTTCTCCAGCCTTTATTAATTGGTTTGCCATCGTTAGGATTTCTTCTATATTTTTACCTATTAGAACTTGATCATCAGCAAACTCTAAATGGTTCAGCCACTCTCCAAAAATTTTCATTCCTTTGTTCTGCCAATTCATAGTTTGCATCAAATCATGGATAACTGATATAAATATTTTAGGAGAAAGGGTATCACCTTGTCGTACACCTTTTCTAATTTTTATTTTTACTGTTGTATTTCCTGATTTATATTCTGCTTTGGATCTCGAATACGTATCTTCCAGTATCTTGCATATTCTTGAACTAATGTTTCTCTTTTTCAACATATTTATGATAGAATCGGTTTTTAGGGAGTCAAATGCTTTTTCGTAATCCAGTAATTTTTCCATATCTAATATATTGGTGATTAAAATAATCATTGGTAATTTATTGGCAGTTATCACTATTTTCTCACTTTAGATTATTTTAATATTTTCAAGTGCCATACTCCATGCATTAATATAACGTAAAATATAAATTATAAACTATTTAAATTTTTTTTTTGACATTACAGACCTAGTCGATCTCTTGCAGCCTTAACCTGCCTCCTCAATATTTGCCTATCTTGGTATATTGTTTTTCCAATTATCAGTGTTGATTCGATCTATCCGTCACCTTTTTTGGTCTTCTATGTGGTATTTTGCTTATTATTGTGACATCCATTATTCTGGGGATACATATTCAGAGTATTACAGTTCTTCATGGCCAAACTCTGAATGGTGATTCTAGAACAAATTTCCAACAAAAACATTCATTTGATGCATGGGCCAATTCCCAACGAAAGAGAAATTAAGACCGATTTTCTGTTTTTCCTAAGGTAGTCACGTTTTTTATTGAATAAGAAGGAATTGCTCAAAAATTATTCAAGATAATTAAATTCTAAGTACACCATCGCAAAATGGATAAAAGTTCCTTCTTCTACTAAGCTCAATGATGAAAGGGATTTTCAGGAGGTCTAATAACGCAAAGCCTAACATTATGAGGAATTATTTCCCGAATCGGGATTACAGAAATATGCTCGGGTTTGAGTACTAAAACTGCAGCAGTGGAACTCCTGAAAGTGCCTTTTATCATTGACCTTACTGAATTTAATCACTGTTCCCTTTAACGTTACAAAAATGTTATAGACCCTTAATTTGAGGTTTTTCGGGATTTTAATACTTTTAAAAGAAAGAAGAAAGCTCTGTTTACGCTTCTTATGTGTTGGTATCATTAATTGATGTTATTATGGAGTCGAAGTACTTGAATACTTGAATTTGCTTACTCTTGTCAACTTTAATTCCCTTTTATACAGGTTGGCTGGTTGAATCGTTGGCTTATTATATTTTTTTTTTCATTTACTTGTAAATTAGAATTATTATATCATTTATTATAATTAGAATTATTTTAATTAAAATATCATTTTAATAAATCAATAATTTGTTTTACATAAACTACTTGAATCGTGATAGCGATAGAGTGGTAATTCGTCGATTGTATGTTCGGTAAATAGCAGTTCGTGTCAGGGAGCCATCGGCATTACATTTAACCTTTCCATGACCCGTGTAATTTAAATATCGATTTTATTATTTAAAAAAAAACGAACAAGTGTCATGAATACCTCTGTAAATGGAGACTAATAAAAAATTATAACAGATATATTTTCATACTAAATACATTAGTCACGTTAACTGTATATCGTTTCCCACTGCTGATGTAATGGTTAGAGTATTTAACATTGGCCTTGTCTCATTGATGGATGTTGAACCAAAGATTATCAGCATTCACTTATTACATACTTCGACATATACCTAATTAGTAAATTTATAAATTGCAACTATCTAAAATTTACTCATCGAATTTTAACATTAAATGAGCCAATAAAAGTAAACTAAACTCTAAATTTCGATTTATTCAAAAAATTTATATGAATGATTTTATATGAAGTTGTGAAAAGGCAAATTTTGTTAAAAGTTCAAGTAAAACCAATTCTGATTATTTTTGTTTATTTAATAAATATTGGTTATTCTATAAATAGAAATATGCACAATAAATGTTTATAGTCGATTCGTTAAATAATCTTATAACAAAATAAAAATAACAAAAGGCAAAACCAAAGGTTCGATGCCGACACCACCAATCGCTTATTAAACACCTCCCTCCACCATTCACCGTCCAAATTACTCCCTTCAGATCGGCTTTAATGCAATCTTCGCTACGGTTAATTCATCCTTCTTCGGTTCAAATGTTCTACGCAATACTTTATTTTCGAAAAGCTTAAGACGTTGCTCATCCCTTAATGTAAGCGGCCATGTTTCGCATCCACAAAGAACTGTAGGTAAGATAATGGTTTTATAGATTCTAATTTTTAAGTTCCGAAACAAGAGGCGCGAGTAGTTTTATAAAAACTACACAGAAAAATAACAAGCATTTCTCACCTTCAGTCTAACCTTAATATTTTCTTCAATTTCGTTATTTCTAGTTATCGTTGACCCTAGATACCTAAACTTCCCTACCTGTTCAAACATATTACTATCTATATCGATATCACCAGTAATATCGCCATTTTTGAAGCTAACCATATATTTTGTCTTATCCGTGTTTATTTCGAGACCTAGTTCTTTACTGGCATTCATTAACGTTGTCGTATTTAGTTCTATAGTTTCCACGTCTTTCCTTAACAGTAACAGATCATGAGCACAGCACAGCACGGGTGTTGACACACCCAGATCCAAACCTTTTTCGGTACGCATTAGCTCGATATGTTAAATAATCTTAATCAGCATATTTTAGTTTTTACTATACGTTAAATATTCTTATTTTTAGAGTGATTTTGCAATGCACTTTTTCACTAAGAATATAATGACATCAATTACAAGGCAGAAAATCCAATTCTTATTTATGGCGGTTTCCCAAAGTATCGAAAAAAAATGAATAATAGGCTATTTTTAGGTGGGATTAACGTCCAACTTCCACATGTGATATCATGGACGGAACGTAGGGGCACTCGAAAAAACTACAAAGAAATCAATGAAGTTGGATTTGGAGCAGGGATTTTCGGGTCCAAATTGAAAGTTGTTAGTGTTGAGCTAACATTCCCTCTATATTTTTCCCAATGTATATTTCCATCTAAAATCGAATGAGACCAAAAATAAATCGATGGGATCAATCATTGAAAAGATATAAAAATATCCCACTTTTTGGTCATTTGGCTTCAGCGTGCGGTGCCCACGAGAAATGACGTCATCCTTTCTCTTAAAGAAATTAAATTTATTTCTTATGCTGTTTTATATTATGTAATATTTGAATTTTATTATATACAACATTTTTCTAATATTGTTCATTTATCGATAGCATAAAATTAATTATTTTAAAACATTTAGTATTTTTTTTTATTCTAAGTGACGAACGGCACTGATGATCGGCGACCCGAGACGGTTGCATGGATTGTCCGATCATAAAAGACACACACACAGAAATCTAATTTTCTCATTGACAACTAAAGATTACCATAAGTATCAAAATTAAACGAGGAAATTCGACATCAAAATTTTCCATTTATACCTAAATCAGATTCATTAAATATTGTATATTAATAAATGTCTAATAAAAATTTAAGCAAGCGATGATATGTAATAAATGATAAGGAGGGTGTCTCCTTTCTCACTACAAATTAACCAGTATAATTGGACAGGATATAATAAATCTGGATTAAAATTTTGATATAACAGATCTCTCAACCTGAATACTTCAAATTTTAATTTATTAGAATGAAGCTATTACAATTGAAATTATTGTCTTTAAAAAAAAATCCAACGTAGTTTTGCCAACGCCTCTAACCAAATCGATGTTTGAACGACCCGGCACTTACCCTTCCGCTGAGCCGAATTAGAATTGCATGGATTCGGCTATAGCGGATATAGTGGACTATAAATCCAGAAATTATAGTCATCGGCCACATTCGCCGATACTTTAATTAGAGCAGAAGCAGCACGATAACCTCCCTGGCCTTTCCGATCCGACCCGACCCACATTCGGCGGAGGTCCCTTCTACGTCACGGCAAGGAGTTCTCAAAACGTAGTTTCAAAATCATGCCTAACTTTATAAAGTTGATTACTGAAGTTCCAATAAAATGGTACAAAAAGACAAGAGGAATAATAAACATTTTTCATATCTCAGCTGCATATATTTAATTTTGAAACTGATTCTTACACCATCTTGCAAAATACGAGTAAAAAATCTAGGTTTGAATATTATAAAACTACTTTCTGAAAGTTGACTAGTAATTATACCCTGTGGTAAAACTGTTTGTACGTTTGAATCGTTTTTACATTTCAAATTCCAGGAGTGGGTTCCACACAGAAAAAAAAACTGGAGTGGTACGCACATCACACATCTTTCACTTACCACCCTCGTCTTAGCAGAAATAACTATTTCCAGATAAAGGTAAGTGAAAGTAAAAATTATAGATGATACGAAACATTTAAAACAATTAATTACCATAA